TTAGCGAGTAAATGTCATCTCCCCCAAATCAATCAATCAATCAATCAATCAATCAATCAATCAATCAATCAACCTCTCTCTCTCAGACACACAAAGACACACACACACACACACACACACACGTATTTGAGACAGAGTCTCCCACAGTAGCCCAGGCTGTCCTCAAACCCATGGCAGTCCCTCCTCTCAGCCCACCCCCATGCTGGAATTACTGGCTTGATCTCTCATGGCTGGCTGTTATTTTGCATTTTTTGTGGTTTGTTTGAGACAGGGTATCTTGTAGCTCAGGCTGGCTTCGGGGTCGTGCTGTAGGGGATGACCTTAACGCTCCCTGCCTCCACGTCCTAAGTGCTGGGATTATAGAAGCGCATACCACTATGCTCGCTTTACACAGTGCTGGAGGTGGAACTCAGGGCATTGTGCACTACAGGCAAGTCTTTTTAGTTTGGGGGATTTTCTTTTAGACCGAGTCTCAAGTAGTTCAGACTGCCTCCAAACTTCATAGCTGAGGATGAGCTTCAATTCCCGATCCTCTTGACCCTGACGCTCAAGAGCTGGGATCATAAACATGGACCGTTAGCTCTTTCACCCCCACCCTCTTTTTAGACAGGGTTTCATACTGTAGTCTAGGCTGGCCAGAAATTTGTTATGTAGCCCAGGCTGACCTCAGACTTGCAGCAAAACTCCTGATTCAGGCCGGGCGTTGGTGGCGCACGCCTTTAATCCCAGCACTCGGGAGGCAGAGGCAGGTGGATCTCTGTGAGTTCGAGGCCAGCCTGGTCTACAAAGCGAGTTCCAGGACAGGCTTGAAAACAGTACAGAGAAACCCTGTCTCGAAAAAACAAACAAACAAACAAAAAACAACTCCTGATTCAGTCTTCCAAATGCTGAGGTTAGAGGTGTGGATATTACCACATGCAGCTATAACATTTTATTTTGGTTTGGTTTTTTTGAGATTGGTGTTTTTTCTGTGTAGCCCTGAATGTCCTGGCACTCACTCTGTAGACCAGGCTGTCCTCGAACTCACAGAGATCTGCCTACTTCTGCCTCCGGAGTGCTGGGATTAAAGCCTTGTGCCATCACCGCCCGACTTAGAAATAATGCTTTCTAAATACACTCTGGGTGAACAGATATCCATGCACTCAGGATGGACGGATACCCAAGCTCTTGTAGTCTGGGGACTATCTATTCATTTCAGCATCCGGTGGGTGCGGACCGTGCATAGTCCCTGTCTAGTGACGTCATTAGACCAGTGCAATGCCCCCCCCAAGAAAAAAAAGAATTAAAATGGAGAGTTTCACAGGCTGGGAAGTCAGCATGGAAGGGGGAGTAATGAAATAATGGGGGTACAGTGGTGGATGGGTCAAGAAAGTTCTTGGAGGAGCAGAAGGGACGGTTCCTTACTAATGGAAAGATCCCGTCCATGAAAGCAGGGGCAGCGTAAAATGCCTGACTCTGGGTGAACACGGTATAGAGCAGTAGCTTTCAGCCTGTGGGTCGTGACCCCTTTGGTGGTCAAACCCCTTTTACAGGGGTCGCCTGAGACCATCTGCCTATCAGGTATTTACATTACGATTCACAGCAGTAGCAAAATGACAGTCATGAAGTAGCAACGGAAACAATTTTGTGGTTGGGGTCACCACAACACGAGGAGCTGTATTGCATACCGGGTGGCAGTGTTAGGAAGGTTGAGAACCACTGTGATGGGGGAACATACTCCATAAGGATAATACAAGAGCTACAGGTATAACCATGAAAACTTCAGCAAGACCGGAGTAGGCAAAACCAGAGCCAGAGCCAAAGGAACAAGAAACAAAGAACAGCCTGGGTCTCAGCCACCTCCAGGGGCTGGGGCCAGGCCTTGGGGGCCAAGAGGAAGTTACTGTCCAGTGGCAGCCTTCATGGCTCTGGGCAAGGGGCGGGGTGGGGACTAGTTCTCTACAACCTGCAATCTTGAAGCTCAAAGGGTGAAGTTTTCTTTTTCTGTTTTCATTTTATGTATGTTGGTGTTTCACCTGCATTTACATCTGTGTTGGATTCCCGGAACTAGAGCATAGACAGTTGTGAGCTGCCATGTGGGTGCTGGGAATTGAACTCGGGTCCTCTGGAAGAGCAACCGGTGCTTTTAACCACGCAGCCATCTCCCCAGCCTCATGGCTGCGGTTTTTTAAGAAGCAGAATTTGAACGTGTTAATACAGCAAGAAGCATCGAGGACAGGGCATGTCTTAGGAGTGGTGGGGGCTGATTCACACTGGGAGAGGCACTTGTTCCTTTGAGTGGGGAGAAGGCTGAGGGCGTTTTATACGACTGTAGCCTCAACTGTGGCAGGCAGATATGAGTCTTGCTGGGGCAGGGCCTCCTTAAGAGCGGGAGAGCCCTGTGCTTTACACAGATCCTCAATTTCTTAAGTTATTTGGATTAGGGTCTTGTTGTGTAACCCAGTCTGGCCTCAGATTTGTGGTCATTTTTTTTAACAGTTCTTGAGGTGGTTGAACTTGGAAGAATGGGCTTAAAAATGAGGCCGACTGAAGTCTCATGTAATAGCCAACTTAGAACTAAGAAGAGTCATACAAGTGAAGCGTACAATCACAAGGACAAGTCACACATGACAAAAACAGGTTTCCCCACAGAGACTTATAATCACAGCAGCAAGCAATAGCGACTAATCTGGATTAAACTCAGCTGTCCCCTACACCTGGGAAGGGCCCAAAAGCACATTCCAAGGACAGTTTTGTGTCTTGAAGAAACTGAAGTCATAAGACCCTTGTCTCATTTTCTTGGAGTTTTCTCACAAGCACCAGAACTCTCCTGTAAGAACCCCATTCTTAGGCTGTTTGACAGCAATCTTGCCTGAGGGTTCTATCCTGGCACCAAGCTAGAGTTTTCCTTATGAACATAAGCCATCTCACCTCTGTACAAGGTTTAGGTTTTAGGATCAGTCCTGTGTCCTCCCAACTACTCCCTTCCCCCCCAGACAGGGTTTCTCTGTAGCCCTGGCTGTCCTGTAACTCAGAGATCTGCCCGCCTCTGTCTCCGAGTGCTGGGATTAAAGGTGTGCTCCACCACTGCCCGGAAGGATTAGTTTTTTAAAGTCAGTTTCTTAGCCCTTCTTCTTATTCTGTTTCCTACAATGATGCAAATAAATAAGGTTTTCTTTGAAAACCTTAAATATCCATTATCCTATTTCTCTGATATCTACCTATGTTCAAAATGTCCCAACAACTCTCTTCTAAGAACTCCTAGTTTTGTTTAAAAAAATAAAGATCAATACATGAGTTTGCATGTATGCCTGTGTGCCATATGCATGCAGTGCTCACAGAGGCCAGGAGAGGGCGCCAGATCCTCGGGAATTGGACCTAGCCGTTTTTAGTTGTGTGATACAGGTGGTTGTGAACTGACCCCAGGTCCTTTGCAAAAGCAGCCAGTGTTCCTAACCACTGAATCATCTCTCCAGCCTCATTGGTCATGTTTTTACTTAGGACTTTACACTTCTTCCTGTTTGAAATGTCCTTTTCATACCTTTATTTACTATTCTGCAGACTTCAAATTTTAGTGCCAGCACTGCCCCATCTCTCCAAGTTATTTGGTCTCTCACCACTTAGCCTCCATGGGTCCTGCTTGTCATAAGGGTACCTATGCATCTTCCCACTTTGTGAGCCCGATGACTCATGGCTGTGCTTATCACTCATACCTCCAGTAAGCTAGGCTTGGTGGCATACAGCTATGTAGTCATTCCAGCTACCCAGCGGCTTGAAGGATGACTAAATTTAAGGCACATCTAGGCTCTAAACTGAGACACTATCTCCAAACAATAACAAATCAAACAAGAAACACACATATATCATACATATTAGCTGAAGTCTCTTTCTAGGTCTTAGAAAACTGAAATTCAGAGGTCAAAGCTTCTGCAATTAAAAAGAAATCTGTTAATTCCAGCACTCAGGAGGCAGAGGCAGGCAGATCTCTGTGAGTTCGAGGCTGGGCTGGTCCGACAGCCTCCAAAACAATACAGAGAAACCCTGTCTCGTAAAACAAAAAACAAAACAAAACAAAAAATCTGGGCTGGAGAGATGGTTCAGCAGTTAAGAGCATTGCCTGCTCTCCCAGAGGTCCTGAGTTCAATTCCCAGCAACCACATGGTGACTCACAACCATCTGTAATGAGATCTGGTGCCCTCTTCTGGTGTGCAGGCATACATGCAGGAAGAACACTGCACACATAATCTTAAAAAAATAATCTTAAGTCATAGCACATATGATTGTGTGTGTGTGTCAGTTATCACAATGATAAAGAACAACTCAGAAACCTCCACTTCAAATGCACATAGAGTCCTGCATCTTCCTGGGCATGGTGGCTCACACCTATAATCTCAGCACTCAGAGAACTGACAAGGAGGAGGCTCTGACTGATTCCGAGGCCAACCTGGGTTAAAATGTGAGCCCCATTCTCAAACAAAACAAATCCTCAAAGAATGAAAGTGCTGCAACTAATTGTTTACCTGATTTGTTGTTGTTGTTGCTAGTTTTTGTTTTTTGAGACAGTTTCTGTGTAGCCCTAGCTGTCCTGGAAACCAACTCTGTAGACCAGGCTGGCCTTGGACTCAAATCCAGCTGCTTCTGCCTCCTGGGTACTGGGATTAAAGGTGTATGTCACAACTGCCCAGCTTGTGTTTCTTTTTGCTTTGACAGGGCATTGCCTTGGGAGGAAAAGTAAGTGCCGTTACACGTTGGGGCCAGGGGTTGGCGTCCTAGTTTAATGAATACAGGGTGGAGGTGGACTGTTTAGGATCCTGTGTGCTCTGTCATTCTGTTCTGTTTGAGACAGGGTCTATGTAGCCCTGGCTCTCCTGGAATCCATTATGTAGACCAGTTTGACTTTGAACCCACAGAGCCACTAGCTTCAAGGGACATGTGCACCACTATACCCAGCAATCCCCTGTGTTTTGAGTTTATTCTTTAAATAAGGTAGACTAAGACATAGATAGAGACAAGGACCAGAGTAAGGAATAACAGTTTTTTTTTTTTGCAAAAATTCGGAGTAGAAACTATAGTGACAGCAGGGGGATGGGGCCTGACATCCTATGTGTTCTATCAAAAGGTTTTCTTCTTTCAAAAAAAAAAAAAAAGGTACTGCAGGGCAAAACAAACAAACAAACAAAACAAAACACAGGTTCTGGGACAGCGAGCTTACAAAGCAATGCAGCATACTCAGACATACAGTGTAGTCTGGAAGCATGTTCAGTGCAGAGAATCAGAAACATGGCATAGACCTTTATGGAACACCGTAAGCTCTTGGCTTCATTTACTTTTACTGCTGCGTTAATGTCACAAGGGAAACCGGACAGTCAGTAATGAGAGTCAGAGAGGAGACATATAGACAGAAATCCCTCTGGCTCCTTCTTCCCTAGGTGGAAGAGATCTTGAGTTCTTCCAGAGTTTTGCTCAGGTTAGTGGTTTCTGAAGTGAGTGGACTCTCTAGGTAGTCGGTTCCCGCACAGGGCTTTCCTGTGATTGGGTCGATAACTCGGCCCACTTTGAAAATGATCTCGGCCAGTTCGTGTTTCACATGCTTTGATCGTGCAGCGGGCAGAGCCTTGAGGAGCACAATGTCCCCGACGCAGCACTGCTGAAGGGCATCGTGGGCAAAGTAGGTCTTCCGCTTGTTGAAGTACTGTCAGGAGGAGAGGCACAGATCAGTAAGCCCCATCTGTACTCCGGGGGCGCACAGAGAACATGAAGAAACAATGCACAGAAAACCAGGCAGGGCTTGGCAATGGAAGGAAATACTTCTGGAAGCTTCTAGTACAATTAGCCGCTTACTTTTTGGAAACTGGCAATGACTTTCCTTTCCCAGAGACATTTCTGAGCTATGAGGACAGCCCTTTAATCGAGCTGGCTCTAAATCAATGATTATCTGTCTGTCTCTACACTGACCTCCCACGCAGGGCTCCACACCAGTCACACACTTTTTCCACTAGCTGCGTGAGTCACTGAACCACTTCCAAGTTCGGTTTCTTTCCGTCACAAACGGATGCTCTAAAGTTACTAAGACAAACATTAAAATAAGGATGTTCGGTGGTGGTGCATGCCTTTAATCCCAGCACTCGGGAGGCAGAGGCAGGTGGATCTCTGTGAGTTCGAGGCCAGCCTGGTCTACAGAATGAGTTCCAAAATAGCCAGGGCTACACAGAGAATCCCTATCTTTGAAAAGTCTCCCCCACTCCCCAAGAACCACCACAAACTATTCATCATAGTTAGAATAACATTTTGTTATCTGGTCCAGGAAGAAAATCTTACTGGAGGGTCAGCTCAAATGTTTCTTTACTGAGACCTTCTCTTATGGCAACCTGGGAGGAAAGAATAAAGTGTCTTGTTCCCTGTTCCCACGTTGTTTTGTCCAGTAAATGACTATGGAGTGAACGTAAGTGAACTGGGTGTTCCTGAAACCCTCCTCTGAACCAGGTTATACAGTCCAGCAGTGTCTAGACAGCCGAAGAGGTTCAACTCACCTTTTATCAACAGGCAAACGTTTTTCTGCTCTGACCCTAGTAACTTATGGATGCCACTTAAAACAGGTGTTGATCCTTACCTTTAGCAAGTAGGGATCCAAAACAAGTCTGGTCGCTCTTACTTTAGCGGTCTTTACCATGGCTGTACCAATCACCTTCCCCACCACCCATTTGGCATGGACAGGTGAACGGACTATTGACATTGTGTGTCTCTGAGCACCTAAAATTAACAAAGAAATTCAAGCTTAACCCTGTGGAGTGCTGGGATTAAACTGCTGGGACAGTCTTGCCCCTTCCTCCCTCTCCATCTGACAAGCCAATGGCCCTATCTCTTTCCCAAGAAGTCCACCTCTCCACTGTAGCCCAGGCTGACTTTGAACTGGGACATCCTCCTACACTGGCCTCCCCCGAGTTGGACTGGAGAGATGGCCAGGTAGCTAAGCTTCTTTCAGAGGACCTGGGTTTAGTTCCCAGCGCCCACGACCCACATAGTGGCTCAAAACTTTTGTAAGACCAGTTAGTTCCAGGGGATCTGCTGAAATTACGTAGAGGCTGGTGCCACAACACTCCATTTAAACTTTTAACATTCTGATGGCAAGCACTTACAAAGTGGACTTTTTTGTTTGTAGACAGGGTTTCTTTGTGTAGCCCTGGCAGTCCTGGAACTAGCTCCGTAGACCAGGTTGGCCTGGAATTCACAGAGACCCACCTGCCTCTGCCTCTTGAGTACTGGGATTAAAGACATATGCCACTACTGCCTGGCTAATCAAGTGAATTCTGTCAGGAGCAATGCTCATGTTCAGAAATCATTTTTGCTGTCTTTCTGAATAGCCAGGTCAGAGATTCACACAGGCCTTGTCTTGAAAGTGTTTACAAAGCAGTAAATGAATCTCACTAACTCAGATTCCCCATTCGGAAAGTTAGGGACAACATGGCTTGCTCACAAAGTACTAGGAGGAATTTTAAGAGTGTGCAGTCACATAAATACACTTGTCACACTGGAGTCCCTCTCTGCAAATGAGGCAGGAGACAGAGGGTAAATAGGTAGTTCAGGGAACCGCCCCAGTGAGTCTCCAAGCCAACCATGTGGAAAACTCCCCTGCTGCAGGTCAGAAATTCTCTGCAGATCAAAGTTCCTCTACTTACAGGTGCCTCACGGACCACCAGAAGCTAAGTCATCTTATTTACCCTTTACCCACGATCGTTTTCTTTGATCTGTAACCATTTACAAACACCTTGTCCTTGCCACTTGAACGGTGCCCTTTCTTGGGACCGGCCCACCTGCTTTGGGAGTTTCTATTTCTAATAAAACGATGCTGTTTGAAGCGTTCACCTCCCGAGTCTGCGGGGTTTATTCCTTGCTGTTAAAGGGGTCCGCTCTCGAGGCCACAGCACCCATTTAACCCCGCGGATTGACTTTATTACAGCCATTACAAGCCTGCTACCGTACACACAAGCGCTCACAGCCCGGCTAAGCACTGCAGGTCCTCTGCCGGGCAGGAGACTTTGACTCGGAGAGACTCTGGGATCAGCGGCTACCGAAACCACCGCGTCTAGGGGAGACTGCGGGAGACGTAGCACTGCTGACCTTCCAAACCCAGACCTGGAACCCTCGCTCACCTCCGGATTCTGCCACTGGGACCAAGGCCGGCGGAGCATGGGGCGCAGCGTGATGCCGTCACACGGCGCGCTAGCCCCGCCCCGGACCACCCTTTGCTCAAGGCGCCAGGCCTATGTTTTGGGCGGGGCTAAAGGCAAGAGACCCCGCCCAGTCTATTTGAATCAGCACCTCGGGCGGAAGTCTGCTGGGTTAGGAGTGTCCTGTTTATACTTTTCCCTATAGGCACTGCGATGGGTGCGCAAGAAGTTCCTGCCTTTTCCTATCCCATTTTGTTTCCTGCTCTTCTGATTGTCTAGAAATCGATGGGACTTGCCGTCAAATCACAGGACCTTGTATTCGTCAGACATAGAAGCTTAACTCTCTCCCACTCTCTCTGTGTCTGTCTCTCTCTCTGTCTGCCTCTCTCTTGTCTTGCCTCTGTCCTGGAACTAGCTCTGTAGACTAGGCTGGTCTCGAACTCACAGAGATCCGCCTGTCTCTGCCTCCCGAGTGGTGGGATTAAAGGCGTGCGCCACCAACGCCCGGCTAAATATGTACAATCTTAACTTGTGAGCTATCTTAGCAACTGGTGTAGGAAGACTTGAAAAATAAAATTAACCTAAAACTATAGGACCAGGGAGATGGTTTAGTGGTTAAGAGCACTGGCTGTTCTTCCAGAGAACCCACATGGGCAGACAGCTCACACTGTACCTGTAACTCCAGTTCCAGGGGATCTGACAGCCTCACATGCAGGCAAAACACCAATGTATATAAATAAAAAGTAAATTATTTAAAAAGGAGTATAAATGTGGCTAAATGGCTGATGTCTTTTCTAGCATGCACCATGTCCTGCAAACAATCTCCAGTATTACAGTAACAACAATAAAACAAGGCATCAATCTGTCCAACTCATTTCTTAGCAAATATTTATGGATCGCATATTCTCAGAATCTGTGCTAGGCATTGTAGGGAAAGGATGAATAGAGGGGACCCTCACCCACAAAAGGGCCACAGTCTAACAGAGGCAAATGAGAAAGAAACAAGTATAAAAGAGGTAGGGGAAGAGTGTAAAAACAGAAAGCATTTCTTGACACACACACAAAACCTTTGCCACCCAACGGAGGTTGTGGTTTTGTTTGTGTCAGATCTGAACTGGGGTTGCCCTCAAAGGGGTGGTGTGGTAGTTTGAGTGTAACTGGACCCCAATAGCTCATAGGAAGTGGCACTATTAGGAGGTGCATTGTGGTAGAATATTATTTTAAGGTGTGTGACTTTTGTTTATGCTGCATTTGCTTAACTCTGTGAAGCTGTTATTCTTTGACTGTCTAAAACACCTGATGGTCTAGTGAAGTGCTGAACGGCCTATAACGAAGCAGGAGCAAGGATAGGTGGGGCTGGCAGGCAGAGAAGGAGAAACTAGGAAGCAGGGGTGAGCGGCAAGAGAACAATGAGAGGAGGACATCAGGTGCCAGCCACTCAGCCACCCAGCCAGCCACATAGTGAGAAGGAAAGTAAGACACACAGAAGTAAGAAAGATAAAAGCCCAGGGGGAAAGGTAGACGGGCTAATTTAAGAAAAGCTGGCTGGAAACAAGCAAAGCTAAGACTACATGTTTGCCTGCGTGTGTGTGTGTGTGTGTGTGTGTGTGTGTGTGTGTGTGTGTGTGTGTGTAAGCCAGATCCCTTGGAACCAGAGTCACAGACGGTTGTGAGCCGCTGTGTGGGTGCTGGGAATTGAACCTGGGTCTCCTGGAAGAGCAGCCAATGTTCTTAACTGCTGAGCCATCTCTCCAGGCCTTAATTTTTTTCTTTTCTTTTCTTTCTTTTTTTTTTTTTTTGAGACAGTGTTTAATCTGGGTAGCCCCAGATGTCCTGGAACTTGCTCTGTAGACCAGGCTGGCCTCAATGTCACAGAGATCCTCCTCCCTCTGCCTTCCAAGTGCTGGAATTAAAGACATGTGCTACCCTGCCCAGCTTAAAATGTATTTTTATTTTTCAAGAAAGCAGAATGAACAAATTTTAGTTAGTATAGCAAACTATAAAGTTCCATAGATAACATTTATTAGGCCAGGCTAAACATCCTTTGTGCCTTAAAAGAGTATTAAGATGAAGTGTAGAAAAATGTCTAAATAAAGCACCAAATGACTAACCTTTAAGAAATATTACCCTTTCTGTTTATTCTATTTCTTGTAACTGGTTATACAAGACTGTCTTGTTTAATCAATATTCATATAATTAAAAAGCATTATAGAATAAATCTACAGGTTAGTAATATTAGGTTAGTGTATGTTATTAGAGTTTTAGATTTATTAAATTGTTATATTTTTGTGTGTTTTTTTCCCATTTCCTTTTTAAAAACAGTCTCAAGTAGCCCACATCGGCCTTGAACTCCATCCGTAGTGGAAAGCAGCCTTGAATTCATGGTCCTTTCTCCCACAGCAAGTGCTAGGACCACAAAGAAAACAGGAAACCTGGAGTGCTAGAATTACAGGATTGTCATCACCCCCCACCCCGTTTTAGATTTTACACTGCATTCAGAAGATGGCACAAATATTATTTTTAATTAATAACATTCACTACTTGTAAGACCTCCTGGGAATTTTTAAATGTGCTATCATCAGTTATAAATCTGGTTTCTATGCAGCAAAAGTTCACTTGTAAGCTTTCTTTCCACCATGAATAATTTGATAGTGAATGGAAAGAAAGAACTATGTACCACTAATTGGAAGCCTTCAGTTGGAGGTTTTTCCTCACACTTACAGTCACGTGACTTCTCACGGCTGTGGATTTTCTTGTGTTGGTTAAGGTGAGCGCTCTGGCTGAAGGCTTTCCCACGTTCAGTACGCCTACAGGGCTTCTCTCCGCTGTGCGTCCTTTCGTGTTGGTTAAGATGTGTTCGCTGGCTGAAGGCTTTCCCACAAAAACTACATTCCCAGGGTCTCTGTCCGGTGCTCGGTGAGAGATGCGATGCGGCTAAAAGCTCTGCCACACTGATCGCGTCTGTGGGGCTTCTCTCCGGTGTGGGTTCTCAGGTGCCGAGTGAGGGCTGAATGCTGCCGGAAGGTTTTCCCACATCCGTGACACATGAAAGGTTTCCCCCTGTGTGGATTCTCTGATGTTGAATGAGATGGATTCTCTGGCTGAATCTTCTCCCACATTCGTGACACTTACAGGGTTTTTCTCCGTTAAGCGCTATCTGAGGTTGGTTATGAGCTGAATTTTGGTTGAAGGCCTTTCCACATTCTCCGTGTTTCTCTCTGAGAGCACGCTGGCGGAAGATTTTCCTACACTCATCATATATTTGTAGGGATTCTCTCTTACATAGTTTCCTCGATAGTCAATCAAATCCGAGGACTGCTTTTCTTGTGTGTGATAGTGGAGAGGCTTTTTTAACCAGAGGGATTCTCTGATGTGTAATAAGGTTAGAATTCAGATTATAGCTTTCCTGTACTTATTACACCCCACGCTTCTCTGTGTAATTTTTTGGTGGGCGAAAAATACTTGTTCCAAATGCTTCTGCTGCTTTTCTTGGTTCAATTCTAACTGATAGTCAAAATTCCAGAGTCCTCCTAAAATAGAGTACCAGAAAGTGCCCCCAGTTAGTCTCTCCATTATGACTTCATGGAGCTGGTTTTCATCGGACTCGTTCTGCTTGGGAATTGTCTTTTTCATTTCCGGTCTGTCCACCGGGTCTGAAAGAGATTTGGAATGTACATATCCTTTCCTATAATCCCAGCACTTGGGAGGCAGAGGCAGGTGGATCTCTGTGAGTTTGAGGCCAGCCTGGTCTACAAAACAAGTTCCAGGACAGCTTCCAAGACAATACAGAGAAACCCTGTCTTGAAAAACCAAAAAACAAAACAAAACAAAACAAAACAAAACAAAAAATCCTTTCCTACATTACACTTTAAAAAGAAAACTCCTGCCCGGCGTTGGTGGCACCCGCCTTTAATCCCAGCACTCAGGAAGCAGAGGCAGGTGGATCTCTGTGAGTTCGAGACCAACCTGGTCTACAGATCGAGTTCCAGGACAGGATCCAAAGCAATACAGAGAAACCCTGTCTCGGAAAAAACAAAACAAAACAAAAAAACCAAAAAAAAAAAAAAGCTGTTACATACAGAATCACCAGATAACTCTGATGGTAGTATAAGGAACATTTTAAAAGATGATAAGTAGGAAGACTATGGAAGAAGGTAGGAAACAGCGAGCATGGGGACATTTAAAGCACACATATGGCCATCATAACTAAAAAAAAAAACAAGGTCATCCAGAGGCATCCATGGTTGTAAACAAATGGGTAGAAGAGAGAGAAATGCCAGACGGAGACTGTAGCATGGATAATAAAAACCCAAGACTCTGGAGGACGTCTGAGCTCTGAGAAGGCAGAGCTACGTCCTGGCCCTATAAAGTGTCTTTGCAGACTATTCTATTCATGCTGTCCTGCTACAGCCTCTGGAGTGCTGGCACTGTAGGTGCACACCACCATGTCCACAGGCTCATCTGTTTTTTTTTTTTAAATGCCTGACTTAAAAAAAAACATAATTGGGGCATGGGCCACTGCACGTGTGTGGAGGTCAGGAGCGCGCGCGCGCGCGCGCGCGTGTGTGTGTGTGTGTGTGTGTGTGTGTGTTTTGGGGGATCAGACTCAGGTTGTCTGGCTTCACAGTGACCACTTTTACCCATGGATCTTTCCTGCTGCCTCTGGCTTCATTTTGTTTTTTGTTTGTTAGTTTATTTGCTTAATATATGTGAATGAGTGTTTGTCTGCATGAATGTATATATGCCACGTGCATGTCTGGTACCCATGGACATAAGATGAGGATATCTGGTCCCTTGGGACTGGAGTTAAAGATGATTGTGAACCATCATGAAGGTGGTAGGGACAGAACCTGGATCCTCTCTAAGAGCAACTGTTGAGTCATCTCTCTAGGCCCAGAATAAAGTTACTAGTTTTTGGAGGGTGGGGGCGGGTGAGTGAGGTTTCAGGGTTCCTCTGTATAAACCTGGCTGTCTTGGTAGTCACTTTGTAGACCAGGCTGGCCCCAAACTCAGATCTGCATGCCTCTGCATCCGGAGTCCTGGGACTAAAGGTATGTGCCACCACTTTGGAGCTCTTCGGGCCTGGAACTTGATATGTAGAC